GTGGTGCGTAAAGAGGTGGCGGGAGACAGGTCGTGGTGATTAAGGGATGAAGACGACAGGTTGCGGTGGTCGAAGAGGGAGGAAGAGAACATGTTGTGGTGTGATCAGAGGATGGGAGGAGACAGGCTGGTAGTGCGTCAAGAGGGGGAAGAGACAGTTGTGGCTGGTCAACGAGGGGGAAAGACATGTTGTGGTGATCAAGCACACGGTGGGGGAGACAGGTTGTAGCTGCCGTCAAGAGGGCGGAAGAGACATGTTTAGTGGGTGAGTCAGAGGTCGGGGGAGACAGGTTGTGCATGGTCAAGAGGGGAAGAGACATGTTGTGGTGTCAAGAGGTGGGGGAGACAGGTTGTGATGGTCAAGAGGGGAAGAGAATGTTGTGGTGTCAGAGGGGAAGAGACATGTTTGTGGTGTCAAGAGAGTGGGGTGAGACAGGTGTGTAGTGAGTCAAAGAGGGGAGAGAGACATGTTGTGCTGGTCAAGAGGTGGGGGAGACAGTTGTGATGGGTCAAGAGAGGAAGAGACATGTTGTGGTGGTCAAGAGGGTGAAGAGACAGGTCAATGGGGGAAGAGACAGGTTGCGGTGATCAAGAGGTGGGGGAGACAGGTTGTGATGGTCAAGAGGGGGAAGAGACATGTTGTGGTGGTCAAGAGGGTGAAGAGACAGGTCAATGGGGGAAGAGACAGGTCAATGGGGGAAGCGACAGGTTGCGGTGATCAAGAGGGCGAAGAGACATGTTGCGGTGGTCAAGAGGGGGAAGAGACATGTTGTGGTGATCAAGAGGTGGGGGAGACAGGTTGTGGTGATTAAGAGGGTGAAGTGACAGGTTGTGGTGGTCAAGAGGTGGGGAGACACATGTTTAAATTAGCAGGAGAGGCCACAGCTAATACATGACTGTAAAACTTTGGCGCAAGAATTAAGTGTCGTGCAAAAATTATGACAAACATTTTTAGACATGGCTTCACAACTAATTATAACTTTTCCTGGTTAAAATAAAGCGCGGGAAAGTCAGCTGTAGCAAGAACAGACCATGGTTACCCAGGAGCCACCATGAAATCAGGGAGACATCTAAATCTCTTGTGTGCGATGCAGGTGCATACAGGCGCATTATTGCTGGGAGGAGACGATATATAAACGGGAAGATATGTTAATTGTGGATGAACAGAGAGACGCATCAGTAACAGGTAAGCATAGAGGAACAGTTGTAAGTAACCCCAAAGACGTTCAGATGAAGTGAACAGACAGCAGTTATAGACGAATAGGTAGAGACACAAGTTACATGTAAATAAGGAAACACTGGCATGAGGTCTTCTCCAGCTGCAGACCTATGTGCATGGTGCCATCAGTAGTGAAAGAACGGGGAGCATCAGTAATGGGAGAACAGAGAGAGACATCAGCAATGGGAGAACAGGATGAGACATCAGCAATGGGAGAACACAGAGAGACATCAGCAATGGGAGAACAGAGAGAGACATCAGCAATGGGAGAACAGAAGAGAGACATCAGCAATGGGGAACAGAGAGAGACAATCAGTCAATGGGAGAACAGAGAACAGACATGCAGCAATGGGCAGAAGCACGGAGAGAGACATCAGCAATGGGAGAACAGAGAGAGACATCAGCAATGGGAGAACAGAGAGAGACATCAGCAATGGGAGAACAGAGAGAGACATCAGCAATGGGAGAACAGAGAGAGAGACACAGCAATGGGGAGAACAGAGAGAGACAGTCAGCAATGGAGAACACGAGAGAGGACATCAGCAATGGGAGACAGAGAGAGACATCAGCAATGGGAGAACAGAGAGAGACATCAGCAATGGGAGAACACAGAAACAGACACGAGTAATGGGAGAACAGAGAGAGACAACAGCAATGGGAGAACAGAGAGACAAGAGTAATGGGAGAACAGGGGGAGAGATCAGTAATGGGTGAAACAAACAGGAAAAAATATGAGAACAGGCGAAGCCATTAGTAATAGGAGAACATGGGAGGGGAGACATCAGTGATGGATAAACAGGGGGACACATCCGTTATAATTAAATGGAGAGATATCAGTCAAATTGCAACAGAAAAATCCATCAATAAAGGTTTAGCAGATATGACAGAGCCTAATTGGCTTGACGTGACTGACCTTAATTGCGATCTCTCCACGCACATATATGGATATGCGACTGTGCAGCACATATAATAATCGACAGTGTGGCAGCACTAATGAGCTTAAATAGAGAAATTACTGGCTTCCATTGGTAACCATGCACCACCCACCTGCATACGCAATTACAACAAGGTAGCATTTCCATGATTAATAATTCCCATGTATACAGCACTCTGCGGTGTGCCATTATCGCTGACATTTACCTTTGATACTGAGAATGCGATAGCCGTACCCTCGTTCGAGTACGTGCATCCAGACTAGCCTGTCCTGAAAGCGAGCAAGATAGTGCGAACCTGGTCCAGCATCGCCTAGAAACCAGAAAAACACCCGCAATGTTTGACTAGAAAACATGCTGACGATTAAATTTTAATGTGCACGCCACATGCATATTTTAGTGCAGTTCAGTTCACAAAGCATCAGCGCGCACAAAAACACACGGAACAAATTATCGCATCAGTAGAAACAAGCTAGTAGCAACGCATCTCGTGAAGAATATTCGACACAAAAAAACAATCGACAGCATTCATCTCGGCAAAAACGTCGCGCTGCTTCCCAGCAACCCTCGAGCAAAAACTCGAAACGCACCGCAACCGCAACGGAATGAAGCAATTTCGTAAAATCGCGCCGCGTACCCACACTGCCGTTTGCGATCGCGTTGCTCATTGCCGCGGCGAGTGGCGCCACCAGCTGCTGGTAGTAAACCGTGTCCTCGTTCCTGTTGAAAGACGAGCCGGCCGCGTCTGGCCAGAACTTGAGCGGGCGCGGGAACCCGACGATGAACGCCGGCAGCGTGAAGACGGGCAGCAGTGGCGCGGAGAGCACCACCGTCGCCGCGACGACGGCCAGCACGACAGGAAAGAACACGGCGTTGCCGACGACGACCGGCAAGATGGCGGCGACCCTCGTCTTGCGGTCGGCGCATGCGTGGCCGAGCAGCACGAAGTAGAGGTAGAGCTTGAGAGCGAGCTGAGAGACGCGATGGATGACAACGCCGATGCACAGCAGCTTGACGCCTGCAACGACGACGGCGACGACGACAGACGATGAGCGCGTTGTCGCAAAGAATCGCGAGCGATGGGTGCCGCCCGTAAAATACGACACAATGCAACAGAAGTGCAATAACATATATATAAACAATTATATTTT